AATTTGAAACCCAGACCCATGAATCCATTTAAATGTGTTTCTGTGGCTTGTGACAGGTCAAAAATCACTCTGTGCCTCCGTTTCCACAATTAAAACATAAATAAAAGCAGTGCATGGTACTTTTTTTTTCTTACGAGAGTCTTGTAAAAAACCATCTTACAAACCAACCAGTTGAACAAACAAGCGGAATGTGCAATTTGAAAGTTTTTCTTTGGTCTAGGACGTGGCTTTGCTTAGGAGCTTGGGAAAGTGCCGTCCGGTCTTCGTCATCTGTTCGCTTTCCCTGAGATGGGAATTTTAACTCTGACTTTTTATTTCAGGCCCAAAGTGTGATCCGAGCTGTGTCAACGGAACCTGCTGGGGCGCGGGGAAAGAGAACTGCCAGAAATGTGAGTCGGGGGCAGAACTTCAGGGCCTCCTCCTCCCCGTATGTGTAGCTGACTGTGTCTGTGTTCCCTTTGAAGACACCAGAAGCATGGCTGACTCTAAGGCCAGATGTTAGCAGTTATGTGAGTGACAGCCTTGCAAATCTCACCGCTTGTGGTTAATCCAGTGTGGGCTGTTTTTGACACTTCGGCCACCCGGGTGCCAGCCATTCTCTCTGAACAATAACATACTTGGCAGTTTTCCTGGGAAAGGAGGCTGGTCTGCGACTTTGTTTTCTCTCCCTTCCTGTCCCTCCTCGGGGCACCCACCTCCAAAGAAGCAAGAGCAACTTTTTCAACGGGGTTTTCTGCAGGAAGCTAGTTGAGAAGCGTGAACAAGCCAAGGAATCTGGGGACATGTCGGCTTGAAAACTGACCATCTCTCCTTAAGTCTAACTGTGACGTCACTGTTAGCACTACTTTCTGGCAGGCGTATTTTTATTTGTACAGGCTTTCTGTATTACCCCCAAAACTCAGTTCTAACCAGTATCTAATTTAACAGGTCTGAAAGTCTAGAGTTGATCTGGTCAGTTCTCCCAAGTGATTAAAAGCAAGTAGGAAATTTTTCTTCCTCTTTCTGGCTGACTTCACTTAGAATGACATTCTCCGGGGATCCAGGGATGTCCATGTTGCTGCAAATGGCATTATTTTATCATTTTTTATGGCCGCGTAGTATTCCATTGTGTACCATATGATATTGCTCATATGTGGAACCAAAAAAAAAAAAAGACAAATGAACTTATGTATAAAACAGAAACGGACTCACAGGCATAGAATACAGACTTGCAGTTGCCGGGGGGAGGGGGTGGGAAGGGATAAACTGGGAGTTTGAGATTTACAGATACTGACTAATGTATATAAAATAGATAAATAAGTTTATACTGTAGGGCACAGGGAACTATATTCAAGATCTTGTAGTAACTCATGGTGAAAAAGAATATGAAAATGAATATATGTATGTTCATGTCTGGCTGAAGCACTGTGCTGTGCACCAGAAATGGACATGACACTGGAAACTGACTAGACCTCAATTTAAAATTTTTTTAAAAAGTAAGGAAAAAGAAAGGTCATGCTCAGTTGACTTTGGCAGAATGTTCGGGAACTCCAGCTGCAGGACCACTCAGCTCCTCCTGCTGATCAAGGCGCCATCCACCGTCTGCCAGTGCTCTGCGGGGGCCCCGGGCTGCGACCCTCCGCCCGCCCTGGCCCTGCAGCTCACAGGTGGCCTCTGCTCCTTTGCAGTGACCAAAGTCATCTGTGCCCAGCAGTGCTCCGGGCGCTGCCGCGGGAGGTCCCCCAGTGACTGCTGCCACAACCAGTGTGCCGCCGGCTGCACGGGGCCGCGGGAGAGTGACTGCCTGGTAAGAGCCACCCGGCCGGCCCCCGGGGGCAGCTTCTGTGCCCCAGACCCGGAGGGGCGCCCCGTGATTGAAACATGCTGAGTGTCATCTGCGGCAGCCGGCGGTCGGAGCATCCTTCAGGGTCCCGCCCTCACCATTGCTTCGTGACCTCTGTGCCTCAGGCTCCCCGTCTGACCCTGGGGGATAATTACGTATCTGCCACGTGGTCTCAAATGACACAGTGTGTGTGGCACCACAGCCGGGACCTGGGCACAGAATGAGCCAAAAGACTACATGTGTTTTTATTTGTCACTAATGTCTATTGTGACTGGCACCAACATCGCCACATTCTTTCGTTATTTCACTTAATTCTCATCACAAACCTAGGGAGTTGTGCTGTAAGGGTCGTTAAAATCTAGACGGTGAAGTTAGGAGACCACGCAGACCCTGAGTGGCTGGGACTTCTCTGGCTGTGTCCTTTGCCCCTAAAACCTCTGCTCGCCCCACCTCGGCTCAGGTGCCTCCTGCCCGCGCCCCGCTCCCCGAGGGGTCCTGGAGCACACTGTTGTCCTGTTACGGCAGAAAGCTCGAGCGAGGCCTGGTGTCCCCCTGGGTGGCAGGTGCCACACGTCCGACCGGGAGCACCTTGGGAGTCCAGGAGACACCACAGCGGGCAGGCGGGAGTCCCCCAGCTCAGCTGGGCGGGCTCCGGCAAGGAGACCCGCCTTGGGTGGGACTCAAGAGAGCCTGGGTGTCAGGGACAGGGACACTCAAGCTCCAGAGGCTGGACCTCTGCCTCACCCTGATGGGCACCTGGAGGCAGACTCTTGGTGGGGACACCACGCTGTGTGGTCTGGTCCCATCCGCGCGACATCCCTCCCATTCAGGCTTCTCTGCGTTTAGCAGTCAACTCTCAAATGTAGCCTCAGGTGTTTTTTAGAGGGAAACCCAACCTAAGTAAGTTTAAAAGTAATTTCACTCCGGAGTGACTACTCCAGTGTGCGAACGCCTTCCTTATTTTGAAAGTTCACGAAGAGACGTGTCTTTTTCTCATCATCATTGTCACATACATGATCACAGCCGGGCGATACGTTTAAGAAAAACCACGCTTTTAAGAGCAAGGTCGTCCTGCCCCTATTGCAACTGCTCTGCTAGACCTTGGTGTCCTGATCAGCCCCCCGCCCCGGGGAAGCGTGGCCGGGCTCCCTGCGCGGGCCCCGCCGGTCACGCCGTCCCTCCTGTGGCAGGTCTGCCGCAAGTTCCGGGACGAAGCCACGTGCAAGGACACGTGCCCACCGCTCATGCTCTACAACCCCACCACGTACCAGATGGATGTCAACCGCAATGGGAAGTACAGCTTCGGGGCCACCTGTGTGAAGAAGTGTCCCCGTGAGTTCCCCCCCCCCCGTGGCACCCACCTCCCCTTCTGTCTCTGGCATCCGTGCATCCCCCGGGGCTCAGGTGCCCTTGGGTCCCCGGGTCCACACCCTTGTCAGGCGGGTGAGGGGTCGGGCCCCTGCTGCTCTGACCCCGCATCCGCTGGCCAGGGCGGGACTGAGCCCCAGCCGTGGGCGTCCAGGAGATTCACCTGCCTGATTGGCATCAGCCCCCGGCCATTGGGACCTGTCCCTGTTTAGGTCTTGTACTAAACAGATGTTTAAAAGGCTTACATTTGTAGTCAGAAGGCCTGCCTCGTTCGATGGTTAAAAATCTGCTGAAAGTTGTGCCCCTAAGAGTCCTGCACACGGAGTAATAAGCCGGTGTAAGGAAAGCGACACATTAAGATAAAGTCTAAATGCCACAATTATGGCTCCGAGTCCGTCTTTGAGAGAAGGCTTAATGGACAGAGTTTAAAATCCGCTGGAAACCGCTCAGAGCCCAAAAGGACAAAAACAGTTTACAGAACGGACATGACAGGTGTCCAGGCGAGAGGTTTGAGGACCTACTCGGGGGAGTCAAACGGAGCACCCAGGGTTCCCGAAAGACACCAGTGTCTGTGTTCATGTCAACGCAGAAAAGGCACGAGGGGAGGCTGAGGAAAGGACCCACGTCCCGGGTCTGGCTCGGGGCAGGATGTGGGGTCCGGGAGGATGTGTGGGCTCCCACTTGTGAGTAAATATTCAGGCTTTAACCACAAGCCCCGAAGGTAAAACCTGTGGGAAAAACGGGCTGCAAGGGGGCATTTTAACTCTGGAGCAGGTGCACCCCGCCTCCTGGGTCAGCCTCGTCTCTTCCCCCACCCGGCCTGGGATGCTGGGAAACTCCTGGACCCCATCCCTTTGCTTGCAGCCTTTCGCTCTTTGTCCTTAAAGTTCAACAGACACCGAGAATCAGGGGCGCCTTCGTCCAGGACACGCGGGCGGCCTGGAAGCACTTGCTGCCCCATTCACTGCCTTCCTCCGTTGTCCCCCAGGTAACTACGTGGTGACAGACCACGGCTCGTGCGTCCGCGCCTGCAGCTCCGACAGCTACGAGGTGGAGGAAGACGGTGTCCGCAAGTGTAAAAAGTGCGACGGGCCTTGTGGCAAAGGTGGGGTGCGGCCGGGTGTGGGCGGGCCCCAGGGGGGTGTCACCCGATCTGAGTGTCCCTTCCTTTATCCTCTGCCCTTCTTGGCGGAGGCGGGTTGAGGGGGGTCCTCCCTGCCAGCATATCCCTGCTTATCCTTTATCTTTCATTTTGAAATTTTTCCAACACCCAGAGCATTGCAAGAATAGTGTAATGAATGCCCATGTGCCCTTCACATAAATGCCCCAGTTTTCAGGCCCGGCCACGTTGCCGTCACTCGCTCCGTGTTTGTGTTGAGATGTGAGCGTGTGCGTGTTCTCCGAGCCCTGCGATGGCTGCAGGTGTCAGAACACGCCACCCCGCGATCGGCCGCACGCGTCCCTGCAGACGGGGACGTTCTAAGTGACAAGAGGCAGATTCACACTCACCCCAAGTTTAACGTGGATTCCGCGCTGTGCTTGTACCCGGTTTAATTTCAGCTCCTCCCGCTGTCCCAGAGCATCCTTTTCGGTCCAGCATCCAGGCGAGGGCTGTGGGTTCCGTGCACACTGTTAATTCGGTACCATTTCAGCCCCCTTTGCCTTTTCTCTCCCGTGACCTGATGCGACAAGTCCAGGCCGGGTGTTTTGCGGAACGTCCCTTGCCCGGCGTGGTGGTGGCTTTTCCTCCCAGGTGAAGCACTGGGGACGGGAGCGCCCCCTCATTTCCCGGCACAGGAGACACAGCCATTTTTCACCCCCTTCCTCTGACGACAGATCTGACAGTCTGCCCGAGGTGGCGTCACCCAGATTTCTTAGTGGTTATGAAAGAGTGATTTCCCACTTCCCCCCTTTCTTCTGGTGATTTCCCGTTTCCCATCGTGTCTTCTGCACTTATCAGTTGACACTCTTTTCTACAATTGTTTTTAGTCCCCATGTGAGTTCACTGAGTCCCTTTTAATTCAATTCCTTTGATGATAATCATCGTCCCTCATTAATCAGTCTGACGTCCAGACCGCCCCCCTGTGGCCGGTGGGAGCCTCTCCAGCTGGCTCCCGCGTCCCTTCGGCGTGTCCCAGCTCCAGATCACGTCTTGCCCTCCCTTCTGCGCACTGTGCACCCGGCTGCTTCAACAGAGCACCTCCTGGGAGTCAGTCCGGATAAGTTCACATGACCCTGTGGCTGCCACGCGCCCCTAGGTGGCTGTACTGGGATGTATTCAGCCGGCCTCCCTCCGTGTGGTCATTTAGATGGTTTCCACTGTGCGGCTGTTGTAAGAAATCCCTCAGTGGGTAGACACACACCTTGACCGCCTGCCCCAGGTGCCACCTGCCCTGAGAACCACCTGTGACCGCCGTGGACGCTGACGGCTGCCCGGTGCTAGCACATTTCACGTGCGCTCTTTCTCGGGGCTCCGTGTCATCGAACCCCTCCAGCCCCTCGAGGGGGACAGTGCTGCCACGATCCCTGTTTACAGACGAGGGACTGAGTCACGGGATCTAAGTGCCTTGCCCAGGGGCCAACAGCCAGGGACGCCGACGGCTCACGAGGGCTCGGTCCCAGGCCAGAGCCCCGAGCTCCCGGCGCGTCTGTGTCCGCCTGGTCTTGTGACGCCTGCCTGTGTCGCACGCAGGAGAGTCGCTGCCCCGAGAGATAGGTGTCCTTTGGCTTCAGGAGGCCTCCGTGGAAGGAAGACCATAAACACATGGGGCAGTGCCCGGCACAGAGGAAGTCAGAGAGTTAAGCCCCTGGAGAGAGAGGGTTACTGTGAGCATCCCCACCAAATGGACCAAGAAAATCAGATCATTTTCGGTTTTGTCCTGTTAACTCTGTGTTCAAAGACATTTCGATTCTCCTGTGGCCATTATGCTCCATTTCTACCCACCCCGGTTCGTATCTTGGGAGTAGTGGCCATCGCAGACCCCTCCGGGTGTAGGGCAGCGCCCCCGGGTAAGCGGGGAGGGCCCGGGAAACAAAGGTCGGATAAATGCGTGTTGTTACGGTCCATGACTTCCCCAAATCTGCTGTGTCTCGGGGTGAATTTACCTCCAAATCTGGGAATCAAGGTAACCCCGTCATCACCATCACACACAACCAGAGAGGAGGAATGTTCTCTCAAGCACACGGAATTCTCTTCCAGACGTGTAATTAAAGGGCGAGGCCCCGCTGGCAGGTGTCCACCTCAGGGCTTGTCTTCCCGAAGCCACCACCCTCTGTAGTCACCACTTCCTCGGAACCCTGAGCCAGCCTCCCATCGAATTCCACAGCCCACATGAGTCAGAGGCACCCCACAGCCAGGCGGCGGCCCAGGGCCTCCCCGCAAGCAGCAGGGGCTGCGGGCAGAGTGGAGCAGAGGGGGCTGGAGGGACAGTGTGGCTCTGGGAAGGCCTGGCTGAGGGGAGGCGGGACCTCATCCCGCACAGTGAGGTTCTCCGTGGTGATTCGTCCAAGTAAAGCTAAAAATCTGAAAGACACGTTTCCAAAACCAAAACATTGCACATGGGAGTTCTAGAAGGAGAGCCACGCACAGATAAATGGGCTTCGGAGGGAGGTGGCATTGGACAAGCAAATTCGGGACTGGATCTAAGTTAATAGAATGGGCTCAGAGCGTGGCAACAGGGCACCTGCCACTGCTGTCACCGGGGGCACAGATCAAAGCGTGTGGCTTGAGTAAACACTGAGGGAACGAAAAGTCTAAGAGTCAAGTTACAGGGGAGGGCGAGGGAAGGCGTGAGGGTTTAGCTGGGGGCGCACGGGCGGGAGCAGCTCTGGCGGTGACAGTGGGGTGCACTGTTGTCACTCTGGTCCACGGGGGACAGGGAGGAGGAGGCGGCAAGGTCAGCGAAGACAGCGACGGCATCTCCTTTGACCGCTGTAACCCCAGCCCCCGCCGCGGTCCCTGGTACCCAGCCGGCCTGGCGGTGTTTGCTGATTGAATAAGTGACCGCGTGGCCGAGATCACTCCCGCGGCTGCAACTATCTGCCTGCGGGAGCCTCGCTGTTCTTAACTCAACAGATGTGGATGGAATGAACACCTCTCTTTGCCTTTTACAGTTTGTAACGGAATAGGAATTGGTGAGTTTAAAGACACACTCTCTATAAACGCCACCAACATTAAGCACTTCAGAAACTGCACCTCGATCAGCGGGGACCTCCACATCCTGCCGGTGGCCTTTAGGGGGTAAGTCACAGGCTGAGTTACTGGTGTAAGAGAGGAACTCAGCATCGCTCTGTTGTTCCCTTGTCGCTAACCATTCTGTTTCTTGTTTCAGCGACTCCTTCACACGTACTCCGCCCCTGGACCCGAAGGAACTGGATATTCTGAAAACCGTAAAGGAAATAACAGGTATGCGCTGCGAATTACCATAGTAACACAAGTGGGAAATCCGTGTTTTTGGGCGAGAACTTCAAGGTATATTTACTTCTCCCGTGGCATGAAACATTTATTCTGGAGGAATGACTGATTCGTTCTGTGATACTTAAAAATGAGGTTTTCCCTGCACTCAAGAGGTGAGCGTGTGAAGCAAAGACTCAGGTCGCTCATGATGTGACTTGGTGGGGACACGTCTCATCTCTCGGCGCCCCGCCCAGGCGGGCCATCCTGAGGGGTCCAGCGACGAGGTGGGCAGAGGAGAAGGCGATGGAAAAGGATCCAATCCAGTGTTCACATTCTCCTGCCCATGAGAATCCTGTTAACCGTGTCTCGTGCAAAAAAAGAGGTTTCTCAGCAGTGTGTGCCTGACCCCTCCTTCTCCTCTTTAGGGTTTTTGCTGATTCAGGCTTGGCCAGAAAACAGGACCGGCCTGCATGCTTTCGAGAACCTGGAAATCATCCGTGGCAGGACGAAGCAACAGTAAGCTGGCCCCAGCCACAGCCGGGCCCATCCTTTCCTATTTCTGTATTTCGACATGAGCCCCACAGCAGTGACACCGAGATGCTCGCGCGAGGCCGCACACGGCGCTCGGCCGGCTCCCCGGCACGGACCCCTCGCCTCGGCCTGGGACGAGCATCAGGGTGGGGACACGAACGGTAGCGCCGAGCCGCAGGCTTCATGGGGGCCCGCCAGTCTCCCCACAAATGCCTTCTGTGTGCGGGGCCAGCCCGGCGCCCCACGCTGCGCGCAGCTGTCTCCTTGGTCCCCTGCGGTCAGTGACAGTCCTCTGGCCTCTCCATGTTTCACGGCCCTGATGCTTTTGAAAAGTGCGGGTCAGCGTTTTGTAGAATGGCTGGTGATTCAGTGGAGGTGATGCATTTGGGGCCAGAACGGCATGGGGGGGACTTGTCCTTACCAGCACACCATTTCAGGGCGACCCAACATGCTTTTCAACGTAGAGCAGTGAACACACACACACACACACACACACACACACATAAAAGCACCTTTAACTTAATAAAGGAAATAATGAGCTTTGTGGCGAGAAGTCTGGAATCCTCTTACTCAAACGTGCCTTGGAAACAGGCTGGTTCCAAGAGCCGGATCCCATAATTGACCCCGAAGAGGACTGCGTAATATTGTGCAATATCTTTTAAAACTCAGAATGCAACACGCATAAAGCGTCTTGGCGTTGCATCTCGGGTGTAAACTTGCAGCGTTTTGCTTCCCAGAAAGGCTCCTTCGCTCTGAGTTCTCAGGGACTTTTTTTTTTTTTTTGCCTCACGTTCATAGAGAGATGAGAGATTTCAGTCCCTTTTCTTGGGTGACTGGCATGTACCTCTCGGCTTAGTATTCGGGATTTGAACAAAATAAAGATTGCTTTTTTTTTTTGCTTTTCACACTGACTGAGAAGTTCGCTGATAACACAGTTCCTCCTGGGCCAGCGTGACCCCTGTTCTCGCCAAAGCCGGACCAGCCCCGCGGGGAAGACTCCTGTCTTGGCTCCCCCTGGGCAGGGATGGGGGTGTTGCCAGTGGCAGTGGCGCGGGTCTCCTGGACAGAAGCCAGGCTGTGCGAGGAGAGAGGGAGGAAAGGATGGAGAGAGAGAGAGACAGAAAAAGCAGAGTCTCCTAATTATGCTTAAAACTTCCATCACCTTGTGCCTTAATTCTCAGTGTTCCCTTCAGTGCTGTCTGGGCTGACCCACTCCCCGCCCTGGTGGCCGGTGGGCATCCTAAATGCAAATCTCCTTCCTGGTTCCCATCATTGGTGGACATCAGTGTCCTAGATGTGGTGTCCAAGGTCGTGGTGTCCAAGGTCATCCGTGCGCTGGCCCCGCCCACCCTCCCCAGACCCCCTCCCCATGTCTCTCCTGCAGCAGCAGCTCCTGGCTCTCAGCACCTTTCATGGGTGCTTTTCTGCTCCTCCAGGAGGCTCAGGACCTCCCTCTCTTTGGTCTCGATAACTTCCATCCAGTCACTTAATGAACACGTATTGATCACCACGTGGGATGCTAGCACGGGGTTGGGTAGCAAAGAAAATATTGTAGATCTTGTTTCCAAGCTCTGCACAAGCAGGCATCAGCCCTTCCAGGAGATCCCTCCCCAGACTGGTTTCAGCGCCCCTCCTCTTTGCCCTCCACGCTACCCGACATCACCCCTCTCACCGCACTGGGTTAAAATCACCTGCTCAAATGACTTCATCACCACTAGACAAAGGGTCTTCTGAGACTAAGAAACATACAGTTAACCTACAGTTAGGACAGATTAGCCACATACTGCCTCCCGGTGTTTGTTCAATAAATGGATGGGTGGCTGGGTGCGGGGATGGAAAGATGCACCATGATTTTTGAAGTATATGTGGATATTTGAGAGGTTAAAATATATTCTCAACTCCCGGGCAAAAGGCAATAAACAAAATGACAACATTAAGACATTTATTCAGCCCCCAACCTGGCCACTGGGATTAGAGATGCTAAATGAACGAGAAGCTAGCTTTTCCCTGGAGGAGCTTAAAAAAACACTTGCAATTTTCCAAACTTGCAAGGCATGCCTTCTGCAACACGACTTGCAATGTCTGTAGCACATCTAAAGTGGTCCGGAAAAACAAAGTGGTTAGCGAGCTTACGTTCTCATAATTTCTCACGGTGTTACTTTTCTTCTGCCCAACCCAGTGGTCAGTTTTCTCTGGCGGTTGTCGGCCTGGACATAACATCTTTAGGACTGCGCTCCCTCAAGGAGATAAGCGATGGAGACGTGATCATTTCAGGAAACCAGAACTTGTGCTATGCAAACACGATAAACTGGAAGAAACTATTTGGGACTTCGAGTCAGAAAACCAAAATTATAAACAACAGGAGCGAACAAGAGTGCAGTGAGTAAATCATGTTTGTTGATTGTGGAGATGGTTCTAACGGGTCACTGATTTTGGTATAGAGAATTAAGGGGCTGTTCCCAAGTATATAAATTACTTTTTTACATTGCTAAAGAAGCAAATTAAAAGAAATCTGTATATTCCTCCAGGAGCATCCATGTTGCTGTAAATAGCATTATGTTACCTTTTTTACGGCTGAGTAGTATTCCATTGTATAAATATACCACATCTTCTTTATCCAGTCATCTGTCGATGGACATTTAGGCTGTTTCCATGTCTTGGCTGTTGTAAACAGTGCTGCTATGAACATTGGGGTGCAGATGTCTTTGTGAAGTAGGGTTGTGAAGTTCATCAGATTAGTTTCTAGATCATTCTCATGGCACAAGATGAATTTGCCTTGAAGTCCAGGCTACCAGTTATTGGTAATTAACAGAACTGAATTTAGTATTAATTATGTTGCATTTTGGCTGTGTGTTCCTTCCTGCTTATTTCATCCCCAGTGACTATAACTACACACACACACACACACACACACACACA